GTTTGCACAAAGGTTTTATATTACATCTGTGCTGAAACTTTTAACAGTTCAGTTCTGTTTCATATACTCTCCTTATTCCAATAAAATTATCTTTCAATTAGGTGCTTAGAATATTGTGTTCTATTAAATTTACATTTAAATTAAAAATAAATAAATAAAGGAATATGTACTAACTACTCAGACATTTCCTAGCTGCTACACTAGATTCCTATACGCAGTTCATAGCTTTTAAAGTTAATGAGCTCCTATATATTGGTAGTTAGCTGAATTTTTTCATGGTTAGAATATTTTGTGTAGCATTGAAAATACCATTAAGCCACTTAGTGTTTTAAACGGAGTCATCCTAATGGATGCCTTTCAAAATATTAAAACAATTTTCCTGCTTTTCTAAAAGCCTGGGGGGGGGGGCGGAGAACAATTGAATGGAGATGTTCGAGTGGTTTTAAAAGTCATTGCACATGTATCATTTTGGCAGATAGGACAGCTTGAACTGATGCAAAATAAATCCCCGTTGCTTGTAGACAAGATGCTCCATAAGTAGGAGAGAATTCCTTTGTCCTAGATAAAAAGAAAGCTATATACACCATTGAAAGTATGTTTTCCCTTTAGTTCCTTTCAAAACAAGCTTAAATGGATTTAAATAGCCCAAAGTATTGAATACTTTTGGAGAAGACTGCAGAGATCATGCTGATCTAATTAGAAAAATTGCATGCTTTTTATATGCCATTTTCCTTTTTATTAGCCAATTGGAAATAATATATTATCAAAGGGAAACTCACTTTTCTTTTTTATGTAGTGCTCTTGCCCTATGTTCACTAGCTCGGATGCTGCAGTTCTATATTAAGCTTTTTGAATATGGACGTGACCCTTAATTCTTTGCTCTAGTTCACTCCTTTGGATGAGGAAGATCGCATCCCACCCTACTATTTAGTAAATTACCACTCTGAGGAACTGAATGCCACCCTAGCGCATTAAACCTCAAAGACTTAATGCACTTTCATAGAACTAACTCAGAGTTATTTGCACACTGGAACCTGCAGGCAAGCTGGGAGAAAGAGAACTAATAAAAGTGTTCATAATGCACTTACACTGTAAAGTATCAGGATACTTTTATGCAACATTGAATGATAACACACTCAGAGTGTTTTCAGTGATTTTACCTGAAAAGAAAATTTCTACGCAGTTATCTAAACTGTTTTGACCCTTGTTTGGGGACACTGCTTAGCACTATTGATGAGCCAGCTGTGCCAAGAGCTCACTAGATCCAGAAGAGTCATGCTGACCAGACTCAACTGCTCCCCAGTGCCCACTGGCTTGGCTTTTTTCAGTCCCCAAACAAATCTGTTTTGAAATTTTCATATTGCCTGTACTCAAACCCCTCTTTGTTTCTTCCCAAATCGCACTTATCAGAAAATGAGCTCATTACCTGCACTACTGAGTTTACAGGCATCAGTGATAACCTATTTCAAGTAAACCCTCCTTTTTTTTTTCTTTTATAAAACTTTCTGTAGATTCTGACACAAGTTTTGTTACTTTTTTTTTTTATCTCTTTAAAAATGTGTTGTTTCTTCTTTTGAATACTAATGCTTCCTCCTCTTGGTGATGACCCTCTTGGTCTTCACTAGAACCACCAAATATGCACTTTATGCAGATTTTGACTTCTTTTACATTATGTCTCTTATGGGCTTTTTCTCCAGTGCGTATAATATTCTCACCGAACCATTCCTAAAAAATGCTTCTTTCTTCTGACTGTTCTCTTTATTGCACTGTCAGAGTTACTACCTTCACGCTGTCGCCAGGAAACTGAAAAATAACTATAATCAATATAAAAGTTGAGTATCAGATTTTGGGCACATGTCTGAACAGTGATCTGCCTGATTCATAAATGTCATTCTTCTCACTTAGATGGCATAAAGCTAAGGTAACTCCTTGTTGCTGAATTTTATTATCCAGACATTGTTGAACAGATAGATGAATGAGTAAATGAAAAATAAAGAAGACTTATTTTCATCAGATTTGGTCCTGTGTCATGGCTGTACCAAGGAGAAACTTGTAGCAAATGTTTGAAACCGGAGGAAGCTGTAGGGAGTTACTTTTGTTGGCCACATTTTGGTATGTAACTTAATCATAGTAATGTAGCAGAGAAATTGGGTGGATTTATTTCTCTATCATTGCAGAAATTTCTAGGTATCATTGTAGAGGTCCCCAACAGATCTTATCTTGGTATAAGGTGCCACCCACAGAAGTACTTGGGATCCTATAAGTAGGAGCCTAGATTTTGATCAACTTTGCCTCAAAAACCACTTTTAGACCAACTTTGCCTTAAACATAAAATCATACTCTGATACTCAGTCTTCTACTTCCGTTTATTTTAACCCTGTAGAGCTACAAGGGCCAAAAGAGGAACTTTAAGACTCACTCATTTTGGTCAATTGATTTCAAAAATGTCCCCAAATATTCACTTGTTTCTCTATTTAGACCCTTTCAAATGAAACTGCAGATTCTCCCATCAAGAGATAGAACCTATTACCCCCTTCCTGTGAATTTGGCTGCTATGTTGACTTCTTTGCAACAAAATTAGGTAGAAATGACAATGTGCTGGCTCTGGAATAGTATCAAGAGCCCTTGCACTTTTTATGCTCTTTCTTTTAAAATGATGCCACCGTCATGTGAACAATCCCAGCTGGCAGAGGCCATCCTCAACAAGCCTATAGACACTGTGGACTTGGTGGATGATTCCTTCAATGAATAATGAGGCTTAGTTTTATCATCTCCAAGATTACTTAATAATCTTAAAATATTTCTCTGATGATTAAAAAAATTTTTTTAATGTAAGCATGAGCCACCTAGTAGATATTCAACAATAATTTATGTTGTGTTATACTATTTTCCCTTCTTCTCCAGATGTTTTATTGTTTTAGTCCATTTATTCATTTCTTTTTTAAAAAAATTTTTTTTCAACGTTTATTTATTTTTGGGACAGAGAGAGACATAGCATGAACGGGAGAGGGGCAGAGAGAGAGGGAGACACAGAATCGGAAACAGGCTCCAGGCTCTGAGCTATCAGCCCAGAGCCTGGCGCGGGGCTTGAACTCATGGACCGCGAGATCATGACCTGGCTGAAGTCGGACGCTTAACCGACTGCGCCACCCAGGCGCCCCCATTTATTCATTTCTGTTAAACTCAGCAAAACAGGTATCGAATGTCATTGCCTGGCTTTGGGCTGAGGTTCTGAGATTCCAAAGATAGATAATACTTGAAACTCATCTTAAGAATCATATAAGCTTTCACGCAAACTATTAATTAGGTCACTGTACTGGCTACTTCGCCAGGAGTCTCTCAGTTTCCTTTCATTGCCAACTCTCCAGTCTTACCTTCTATATTTCCATGAAACTGTTTTATCGGAAGATAAAACTGACCCAATCACTCCTCTTTCTTATAAAAATAAAATAAACACGATGCTATTGATCTCTGATTTGTATCATGTTACTAAGGATTACTCTATACATTTCTTACAGCGCACATGCCTTTTCAGTCTTTTAAACCATTCTCTATCTCCTCTAAACCTTGGGCTCCTCATCAGTAAAACAGACATAAGATCTTCTTCATATATCAAATGATTAAATATGATAAAGAGTTGAAAGCCCTTAGAACATCATAGTAGCACTCAGGAAAAGGTAGCTATTTCTATTGTTTCTATTCTAATATATTCAATTTGTATCCTTACTTCTCTCACCACCATTGCTTTTGCAACTACTTCCGCTGATTTTATCCCTATTATCTGTTAACAAAGGCTTCCTTTTGCAAAAGTGAACTCTCCATTATCTTGACAAGTAAGGCTCTTTAATTCTATCTTAAGAATCATTACAAGCTAGTTCCCCTGAAAAGGCTTTCCCGTCCACTTTCCACCTTGTGTTTTTTTATTCATCTTTAAGAATCAGTTCCAATATTACTTCCTTAGTGAAATGTTACTTCATTCCTTGAGGCAGAACGAGATATTTTATTTTTTGTGACCCACAGTTGTCTCCCTCTTATCTCTGAAATGTCACTTATCAGGCTATCTTGCAATTTGTTTATTTTCATATGTTGGTTTGTGTATATTTTAAGGACATGTACTTTTTATCTATAATTTTATTTCCTCAGGGTCACAATATTGGTTCAACAAATATTGGGATAATTGATATGCACACTTGAGGATTATTCTAAAAAGCATAGATATTCTTCGGCTAGTATTTTAATTTAAGCTTTTGTTTTCATTTCTTTCTAACTGTGCATAGCCTTTTTACATCTCTCTTACTCCTAGGTCTCTTCTGTTTTAAGAGAGCACATAGTCATAGAATAATTTCAGAACTGTAAAATAGTTCTGCTTCCTAATAGCTCAAACAACAAAAAGCACATCCCATCAGAAATGATTTCTATATATGTTTTAAGACTTTAAAGTGGCACATTCAATTTATTTCTTTAAGATGATTTTTTTTGTGGTTGTTAATAGGCAAGTATTCATGCATTACCCTAATTTTTAAAAGTTCCAGGTTTTCAATATAAAGGATAAATAAATATGATTAGTATATGTGGTAAATTCTACTGAGATAAATATCTGGTTTGGCCTTGACTAAGCATTTTTTTAGTAGGAATTGACCAAGATGGCTCTCGTGTTCTGCTCAACTTGACTAAGTTTTAGATAGGCTTTTTTCCTGATTATAGGTCACTATCCTTTTTCTGAGAGCATGTACTTTAGAGAACTCACAATTATAAATTCTTTCTCTGGCACTTTGATATTTAAATCTTCCTCCAGCTTCTTGCCAAGATTACAACCCAGGAATGTCTTTCTCAAGATTCTGAGAGCCATCCTTTTGAGATACAACTAATCAAGAAAGATAGGGCTACTGTCTCTCCCAGCATCTTTGGGAGGGTAGAATATTAACTTCAGTATAAGCCAATTAGTAAACACACATAGTCTAAGCACATTGACCAACACGTTTTTACCAACTCACCCCATTGCTGAGAAACTCTCCTGACTTTTGTTTTAGTGGAGTTGAGTTTTGCTTCTGTCCCCGATTCAAACAGTTTTGACCACTATTACAAGTCTTTAATTAAGCTGTCCTCGCTTGTTTAATCTGGTGCAATTTTTCGTTGATAGCTGTTGATGTACACTATAAAAAAAGGTGTAGATATCTATTTCACAGTGTGGATATATTAGTTTCCTTTTGTTGCTGTAACAAATTGCCATGAACTTATTGACTTAGAACAACACGAATTTATTCTCTTACAGTTCTGAAGGTCAGGAATCTGCAATCAGTTTTATTGGACCAAAGTCAAGGAGTCAGCAGAGAGGGCTCTTTCTGAAGGATATGTGAAGAGTGTATCCTTTCAAATTCTCTTTCCCAGATTCTTTGTTTACATTTTGTGGCGTATGGCCCCTTCCTCCATCTTCAGAGCCAGTGGCATAGCACCTGCAAATCTCATTCTGCTTCCATCATTGAATTCTGTGCCTTCTCTGATCTCTTTCCTGGACCACCCCCCTGGAAAATCCAGCATAATACCTCCATCTCAAGATCATTAACTCAATCGCACAAATTTTTATAGTTTCTGATGCAGATTCGGATGCAGATATCTGGCAGGGGCCATTATTCAGCATTATACACACTGGGTTGAAAAGTCCCTAAGTCTGCAAATAAACGCATATCTGGGAACTATTTCATTCCTAAGCTTACCAAAAGAGTCAAATTTTAGTTACATGTTGTTTGGAAAGACTGAAGACCAATGGGCAACGTTAAGAATTCAAACTTCCTTTGCTTATATTGGCCCAACACTTGCATCTGTACCTAGAAGACAAATGCACAGATGCAAATCTCATTCATGGTACTGAGGATTTTGCAATTTACAAAATAAGCTTCTATGCTGCTTACCATCTGGGCTTGTGAGGGTTTTAGGATAACGTTACTTTCTTTTTACGTGATATTGTTTAAAAATATTGATAAGAATGGTGACAGAATTGCAGAATTACAGTAATATTTTTAATTATTTCCACCTTAATGCTTGCCGAGTAGGCGCTATGATAAAGGAGGTTGGACTCGACTAAAGCTCATCATTTAGATCACCAAATGTATAAATTGTTGTTTAATTTTATGTATGCCAAAGTGAAAAGAATTTTTCGAAATGCAAAGGGTCTTTACAAAGCTATCTTTCATCACGTGAGTGCACTATGTGAGTTTTACCCTAAACCACCGCAGGGACTCCCCCATGAAACTCAAAATAAAAGGCAAAACCCGAAAAATAACTTACAAGGCCTTACAATGACCAGTGCACTCACTAGCTCTTCCAAGGCCACCCAGTCTCCTCGTTCTTCCTCCCACATGCCAGGCAAATTCCTGCCTTGCCATATTTGTACTTGTTCTCTCCACCAGAACACTTTTTTTCAGAGAGCTTCATGGCTCACTGATTCTGCCCATTAAGTCTTTGTCAAAAGTCACTGTATGCTAACTAATTTGGATGTAAATTAAAAAAAAAAAAAAAAAGTCACTTTCTTAGTGAGGTCTTTCCAGACCCGATCACATAATTTAAAATTTCACCCTGCTCCCATATTGCGTATTTGTTTGTTTGTTTGTTTGTTTATTGAGACATTTACTTACATATGTCTTTACTTTCTTATTTAAATGAAATGAAAGTTTATAATGTGAAATGCATAAACCTTAAATATTTCACGTAGAAATCTCGTTTCTCCTACGCGTCCTGCGCACCTTCTCTCTGCTCCTGCAACCAACTGTTCTCATTTCAATCACTGTAAATTAACATTTCCTGTGCTTGAAGTTCATTAAATGGGATCTACAGAATGTACTCTTTTGTGTACGGATTCTTTCATCCGATATTTTTGAAAGTAATCCGTGACATCTGATCTACTTTTCATTATCCATCTTCTTGTTGATGGAGTTATACGTTGTTTCCAGTTTAGTGGAGTTATGTATTGTTTCTAGTTTGGGGCTTTTCAAAATAAAGCTACTCAAAAAAGTTTTGTGTATTCTTTTTTAGACACAGAGTTTTATTTCTGTTGTATAAACACCCGTATTAACTACAATTCTCCAGAGAAACAGAACCCACAAGATGGGTGTTTATACATTAAGAGAGATTTGTTTTAATGAATTTTTTCACATGGTTGCAGAGGCTTGGCAAGTACAAAATCGGATGAGGTAGATCGGCAGATGGAGATTCAGGGAAGAGCTGTAGTTCAAGGTATAAACTGGTCAGCTGGCAGAATTTCTTTTTGCTTAAGAGAGGCCGGTCTTTATTAAGGCCTTCAACTGATTGGATGAGGCCCATCCACATTATAAAGGACAATTTGCTTTACTCAAAGTCCACTGATTTAAATGTTAATCTCATCTAAAACCACCTTCACAGAAATACCCAGAAAAACATTTGACTAAATATCTGGGCCCCATGACCCAGCCAAAAGGACACATAAAATTATCCACTACGAGTAGTTTTTATTTTTTTCCTTCTAATATTTATAATTCCTGTCTTAGTTTTTGTTACCTAATTGCATTTGGATCATTAGCTTAATATTGAATGAGAAGTGAGATTAGGCATCCATACTCCATTTTCTATCTTAAAGAGAAAAGTCAATATCTTACCATTACATATTACATTGGCAGTATGGTTTTCTAAATATCCTTTATCATATTGCAGATATAGTTTTAATTTTATTTTAAAAGAAATAATCAATGGGCACTAAATTTTGCCAAATTTATATTTCTGGACTTGATTTGTTGATGCTTTGGGCATTTATGTTAATTAAAGACAATGCTTTACAATTTTTTTTTAATTTAATGAATTTGAGTTAGATAGTGTTTTCCCCTTCTTTATTTTTTGAGGCATGAAACTTTTGTGATACTGTGTACCCTTCAGAATCTTCCACTTTTGGTTAAGGAATTGAGTCAATGTAGGAAAATTGGATTTTCTCCCTAGGAATATGAAATCAGGTGTCAGAGAATAAAGAATATTGTCAGGCTCCTCAGTAGGTGTTGTGAAGATGAAGAATCTGGGTTTGAACCATTGGGAAACCCACCAATCCAGAAAGATAGAATTTCCTGGGTTCTGTGCTGACAACTCAGAGCCTGGAGCCTGCTTCGGATTCTGTGTCTCCCTTTCTCTCTGCCCCTCCCCCACTCATGCTCTGTCTCTCTCTCTCTCAAAAAATAAATAAACATTTTTTAAAAATTTAAAAATGGGCCTCCTGGGTGGTTCAGTCGGTTAAGTGTCCAACTTTGGCTCAGGTCATGATCTCGTCATTGTGGGTTTGAGTCCCACATCAGGCTCTTTGCTGACAGCTCAGAGCCTGGAGCCTGCTTTGGATTCTGTGTCTCCTTCTCTCTGTCCCTCCCCCGCTCATGCTCTGTCTCTCTCTCTGTCTCTCTCTTTCTCTCTCTCAAAAATAAGTGAACATTAATTTTTTTTTTAGAAAGGTAGCTAGAATGAGAGAAAATGACCTTGAAGTAGAGACGAAGCATGAGGCCATGAGTGAGAGAGATAGATACTTTCTACTTTCAAGGTACAGTTTCTCTTGAAGGAACTGCACTTTCTCTCCTCACATTTCATTAAATTCCCCCTAAAGTTTAAAATAAATTCTCTTTTATGGGAGACCAAGGGTGGAAGAACATTACCAAAATGAGCTCTGGTTGCCATTTATATATTTCTTTGTTATGTGTTTTTAAAAATTGGGTTTGGGGCACCTGGGTGGCTCAGCTGGTTAAGCTTCCGACCTTTGGTTTCAGCTCAGGTCATGATCTCACAGTTTGTGGGTTCGAGCGCTGTGTGTTCTGTGCTGACAGTATGGAGCTTGCTTGGGATTCTCTCTCTGTCTCTCTGTCTCTCTCTCTCTCTCCCCCTTCGTCTCCGTCTCTCAAAATAAATAAATAAAAAAGAAAAAATTTGGGTTTGATTTTGGGAAATACCATTTGGAAAGTGTGAACAATTCTCAGAGGACGGAAAGGAACTAAAGGTAGGGAGGTTGACAAGCATTCTGGCAGCTTGCACTAATTTATTAATATTCCATTTCTTTAATCAAATAGCTGACTGATACGACATTACCGGTGAAAGCCTGGTTAAACTGTACTCCCGTCTCTATATTATGTGCAGAGTATGCTTTATTTATGACATATATAAATTCGATATGTAACCTTTGTGTTTCATAAGTATATTTTTGTCCCTAATGGAATCTTATAATGAAATGCTTTAAAAAGCTCTGAGACTTTTGGATACGCAAACAACTTTGAGTTTAAATTAACTTAAGAATTGATTTCCACTTCAAGCAGTGTTTTACGAAATGCAAAGTATAGATCGGACTACGTCTTCAAGAAAGAATCTTCAAATTGATAAGTCTAAATTTTACCCTTGAACACTGTTTCAGCTTAACACTGTTTAGAGATGAAAAGCCCCACGACACCTAATTTAGTGGCAAATGCATACAAATATCCCCAAGGAAATTTCTTCTCAGATATTAGCCAAAGTGTGAAAACTGCCTTTTACTCAGGTGGCTGTTTTCCACCCTCATCCTCTGGAACGGGCAGGGCATATATATATACACATATATGTATATATATATACATATATGTGCATATATATATATATATACACACACACACACATATATATACATATATATATATGTATATATATATTCTCTTTTATATATACCCAGGAGAGAATCCTGAGAGAATAAAAAAGAAAGAAAGAAAGAAAGAGAAAGAAAAGAAAAGAAAAAGAAAAGAAAAGGAAAGAAAAGAAAAGAAAAGAAAAAAAGAAAAGAAAAGAGACAAGAAAAGATACCTGAATTAAGAGCATTTTTATCTTCAAATCATGTTAGGTCTGCTCTTTGTTCACTTGTGATTTCATAAATAATGACATCTCTGGTTAGCATTGATTTAGTAGAAACCTTATTCTTTATAATTCTGTACACTTTTTCTAGATAATTTTGTATTCTCCCACAGCATGGATAGCCTTTGTCATCATAAGGACAATTGGACTGTTTATTTTTGGTTTAAAAATTATATATGTATTTATGTATACATATGTATATATATGCGCAAATGTATATGTGTATGTGTATATTCTTCTGAACTCTCTTTGGAAACTAGTATGTTTTATATTAATGTTTTAA